GGGGTTGTCCCTCCCATGCCTGCGAAGGCCCCCTAGAGGAGGTTGATAAAGAAGTCAGGTGAGCATTAAACACCTATGAGGACCCCTTAACTGAGCATGCTCCAATTCGAGCCCCCAGTCAGGTGGGAGGTACACCTGGGCAGCCCAAACTAGGCCCAAGCCCATGACATCACCCAGGTGGGCTTACCACAGCCTATGGGGTCAACCAATACCATCAACCATGCCTTCCCAGCCAGAGGTTTGAAGTTCCTCTTTTACCCTGCTCCTGGTCAGTGGCAGGTTTGAGGGGGAGGTCTCCCTTTGGGGGGTGGATGCACAGGCACCTACACCTCTCTCCCCCCAGCGCTCTCTCATGCCATGCCACAGCCCCTCTGGCCCCAGTTCTGCACTGGTGGGTTGCTTGTGACCAGTTGTGAGCTCCAGCTTCTGCGTGGCTGGGCACACTTCCCCAAAATATCAGCATTTTGAAGATGAAGAAATAGAGGCACATGGTTGGTTTATTTTGAAGTATTAATTTGAATCTACAGTCTGATTTAAGAACACATACACTTAGCCAAATGGCTTGTGGGAGCTCCCATGTTCTCTGTCAATGATAGCGTTGTTGGCAATGTCAAGGGCAGCATGAACATCAAGAGCAGGAGAGAAAACGGACGCCTACAGGGAAAAACGCGATGTAACACGTTAACACTCGTGATTTTAAGACTAAAGATGAACACCCTTTACGAGAACAGACAGCCTCCCGCTGCCCTTACAGAGAGCCGTTGACGTTGCCCGATGTCTGACCCACAATGCCACCATAAGCGGCATTTACATAAGTACTTCTCATGTGGCCGCCCTGGTGGGACTTGGAAGCTTTGGGTGTTTTTATTGATATGCAAGACTGCTTTCCAGCTATGTCATTCTCAAACTGCTCTAGGAACTGTGCCTACAATTATTATTGCAAAGGGCAGTGAATTATTTAATGTGGTTCTTCTAGTCAAATTCTCTAACTCCCACCAAAGGAGCTTTCCCTGCCTGGGTCTGGTAAGGTGGGGGAAGATACTGAGAGGATTCACCTGTAGGTATTGTAAACTGGATTCCCCAGATGCCATCCTGCTGTGTATAAAATGAGCTCTCTGAGAAGAAAGTGGGGGGTGGGGGGGAATCTCCTTACCAGCCAAAGCCAGGAGTGGAGCATGTCCTCTGGATCTAGAGGACAGCTATAACCTCAGAGGAGCAGCAGCAGAACCAGGATCCAGAGCATGGAACCGAGTGGTGGATTTCCCAGCCCAGGGAGCAAGTAAAGCTGAGGGCTTTTGCGCAGGTAAAGACTGGTTTGTGGAGGGGGGCGCTGTTGGGGAATTTGGGCATGCTGACTCTTGGATGTGGTGCTCAGTGGCTTCTGGGCTGAAGGTTTACTGGAGTGGGGTGCTTCTGGACACTTAATTCAGGCTGCTGAGCTTGCTGACCCACAGAGCTTGAGCCCAATGCCTTTGGGTTGAGACTCACCATGGAGTGCTATGCCCTTTGGGCATTTGTTAGTAGATCTGAAAGAACTGTGTAACACGTCCTCGTAACTGAAACTTGAGCCTTTGACATTGACATTACAACTTGTTAACTTCCTTAATAAACCTTTTGTGAATTTTGTCTGTGAGCGCTGTGTGGTGGCCAGTTGCAATGGATTAGAACCCTGAGATTTTACAATCCAACAAACAAACTCCTTGGCAGGAGTCAATGCTGATTCACGACTACCCACTGTGAGTTCTGACTCTGTGACTGTTTACAAGAGGAAAAAGTTGAGTCTTTCTCCAGTGGGGCCACTGGTGGCTTTGAACTGCAGCAGACCAGACAGATCTCAGCCCAACTCCACTACCAGGGCTCCCTTTGAGAAGCAAAATGGAGAACATAAATTAAGATATCACAATGATCACTCTTAAGGATTTGATTTGCTTTAATGGAAAAGAAAGGCTCTGGGCTTTCCCTGGGCGAGCAGTACTAGTGTACACTACAGGGGACCCATCTCCGACCTTTCGTCCCACGTCCACAGGCTGAAATACCAGAGGGCCGCGGAAAGCTCATGTGGAAATTTCATGTTTTCCATGCATTTTTCCATGCATTTACTTTTTTAACACTAAAAGAGTTAAAGAGTAAACATTTACTAAACGGATCTTCCTCCTCTGCTCTATCTATCTCCCTGAGTATATCTCCCCTTTGGGTGTGCTGTGTTCAGGGTGGAAGTCATCACTATAGCTAGTCGCAGATGGTTTTTTTGTTTGTTTGTTTTTTAAATCATTTTATTGGGGCTCCTACAACTTTTATCACAATCCATACATCCATCCATTGTGTCAAGCACATTTGTGCATATGTTGCCATCATCATTCTCAAAACATTTGCTTTCTACTTAAGCCCTTGGTATCAGCTCATTTTTCCCCTCTCCACTTCCCCATGAACCCTTGATAATTTGTAAAGTATTATTTTGTCATATCTTACACCATCCAACATCTCCCTTCACCCACTTCTCTGCTGTCCGTCCCCCAGGGAAGAGGTTATATGTAGATCCTTGTAATCTGTTCCCTCTTTCTCCCTCACCTTCTCTCCACCCTCCCTGCAGATGGTCTTTTATCAAGCAAGAGAACAATGCTCCTTCCACTTCCATTTCTAATAACACCCAAAAGACTTTTAAGTGGAAATTCCAATATTTTCTTCTTTTCCTGAAATCATGATTTTGGGAGCAGTCGGGGTCCCATATGTGTGTGCCACAGGATTTTCAATGCCTGAGTTAGGGAAGTAATTCATCAGGTCCATCCTAGTATATTTAGTAATTTTAGTGATATATTTAAATATATCTAAATGATCATTTCAACATGTAAGCAATATACACAAGATGACTCTGGGGGGAGTCAAACCTCTATGGGGGTCACCATGAGTCAGACTGTGTTGGCTTTAAGAACTATCTAGAATTTGGGAATCTGGTCAGCCAACTACCCAGTAGTGAATGTTGATGATCAGGAAGGAGAGAGACATACAAGAGCTGTTTTCCCTCACAGAATTGGAGACACTATTGGCTGCTGTCCCCCCATCCTACCTTGCACCCCTCCTCCCATGTTTATTTTTATCACTCATGTGCTTGTGTTGACAGTGTTTTCTCTACAGCTGACTGCTTGGGTTCAAGTGCTGGTCCCACCACTTGGAAGCTGTGTGAAGTAACTGCTTCATCTGTAAATTGAAGTTAATAGTACTTGCCTCCTAAATGCATTAAATGGGTATGCACGAATACGTGCATGTATATATATTATACACACATACACACACACATAATCACTTAAACAGAGCCTGGCCCAAGACAGCATTCAGATTTTTTTAATGCAGTACACAAGTTTTCATTACTCTTCCCTTAAAAATGTTTAATGTATAGAAGATAGAGTCTAGGGTCTTAAAGGCTTGAAGTTAAACAAGCGGCCATCTAGCTGGGAAGCAACAAACCCTACATAGAAGCACACCAGCCTGTGAGATCATGAGGTGTTGACGGGGATAGGTATCTGAAGTTCAAAGTCAAGCAATCAAATTGACGTGAAGGGGCATGGACAAAGTGAAGACCCCAAACCCACCTGTAAGACAATTGGACAGTCCCTCACAGAAGGGCCACATATCTAGGGAGCAGTATTGTACTGATGAAACACATAACTATCCTCTAGTTCTTTAATATTTCCTCCCCTTACTAGAATGGTGTTTGTTTTAACTCAAGAATCTTGTTAGATTTGTATATGTTCATTTGTATAATTCAGTGTTGGATGCATGAAAGCCAAGATAGATAACCCTTTAGAAACAGTAACAGGAGTAACGGGTACTCGAAGAGAGGAGGGTCGGGAGGTGATAGCAATGACTGTATAGCCCCACTTGAGGGGAGTGAATAACAGAATTGCAGGTGAATGGATACATTGGATAGTATATGGCAAATAATAAGAGTTCCTGGTGGTGGGGGGAGAGTGGTGATAAAGTTGAGGTGATATCAGAGTTCAAGAAAATGTTTTGAAACTGATGGTGGTAGCTATTGTAAAATTATGCTTGATCTAACTGAATTATGGATTGTTATATCGGTAAAAGCTCCCAATAAAATGATTAATAAAAAAATTTAATTTTAATACGTAGAAACTTCTGTTATGGAGGGAACTTAGCATAAGGACTCTTATAATTGCCCAAGCCCAGGAACATCCTCAGTCAATTGCTCAACAGAAAAGTGTCTATCATCTACTTGGTAGGGAGCGTGGGACCTCCATACACTATCAGGGTAGGTCACTACACTATATTTTGTGACGGTACTGATTTCTGGAAAGACAATTGATGTACCACAACACAAAAAGCCCGGGCTGTGGAGCCTGGTTTCAGGGTCTTATCACCCCCACCCACTACAGTCTGTTACATGAAAACTGATCAAACTCTCTCCGGATTATAATGTATTTCAGAAGCTAAGTGATGTGTACGGTGTCCTGTGCTGAGACAATATTCTAGCTCATTAACTCAGGGCGGTCTAGGTCCTAGATAAAACCCCATTAACATTCTTTTTTGTAAAAATCCAGTACACTTCTAGGGTGTTCTAGCCTAGTCTTCTAGCCTAGACTAGTCATTAACGCTTGCCCTTTCATGTCACGGGTGCTCTGGCCAACATTTTGGGAAGATGAGTGAAGCTCTCCTGTACTATGATTAATGTAAGGGAAATGTTGGTCTGTTCTAAAAAAAATGTTCAGTGGGAGGCAATTTAGTACTTCCACAAGTAATGGAAGTGAAGTGTACAGAGTCCATTAAATTAAACAATGTATTTATGGGCTTTTCACTTAATCTCTGAGGATAAGCTTTCATCATTTCCGGAAAGACTTTAAATTTGGTTCTCTTCATAACTGAATACAAAATTGGATTAGCCATGTCTGAAGAGCGTCTAATTGAGGTTAAAAATAAGCTGCTTTCTACCTCTTCAACAATTGTATATTAAGATATCCTTTCCCCCCTCTTCCTGTTTCCAAAAGGTAAGGAAACGTAATGACACAGAACCACCTTGGCTACAGCCCAGCGAGAGGTGGAGATGCTGCTGCAACTAGCCTGGCAGCTGGGAGCCAGCTCCTCACACGTGCCAGCTGTGCCAGCAGAGCGAAAGCACAGGCGAGCAGCGTGAAGTGACTGCAGACAGTGGAAAGGCGAAGACGGTTCCCAAAGGTATTGAAGGTGGTAGGTGTTGTTGAAGAGGCACATGTAATTGGTAACTTGACTTTGAACTTACTTGGCCTAGTTCCTTCAACCAAAGCCTTGCTAATCATGAGGTCAAGTGATAATTGGGACAAGGGGGTTCAAAAAGTCAGTGGAAAGATTCCCTTGTCTTTTCATTTCATTGTTATACCAACTTTCTGAAACCCTTTCATAATGAAAAGTACTTTTTAGGACTAATCTGTGTATCAGATTCTATATCCAAATTAGATGAGAAGTGGTGTATTTCTTCAAGGACAGTTTTATATGTCAGACTATAGATACTCGACTCTTTTACCCCAACCCCTAATCCCTTCATTTCTAGAAGAGGCCATGTGTGTGTGATGGGCTGGTGACTGGGGCTCCACCACTCTTCCACGGGCTTGTGCTTCATCCTGCTTCCTGGCAGAAGACATCCCAGGTGGCTCCCCGGCCCCCACAGAGGGAACCTGGGCAGATCAAGGAAAAATGACCCGCATGGAGACAGAGCCACTAGTACAGCTAAACCAACAAAAACAGGAGTCAAGATAAAGTCACAACAAAATGTATTTAAAAACCGGTTTCTCCAGTTGGCATTTTGAATGAGACACTTTACAATGAACTTCCACCCTCCTCTGCTGTGTTTCTTGGGCTCCTGGAGTCCTTTTGTGGCTTTAATTCTTGAAACTCCGGCAGCAGCACCAGACGTGTCAGCCCCAAGGGGAGAGGTATTATGAAGCCGTTCTTTCTGAACGCAAATGAACAAATTCCTAAACCCTCTTCTATTCATCTCATGACGATCATTAGAAAAAAAAATTAAGCCAAACTTTGCATCCTGAAAATGAAACAAAAACCGCACACAAAAAAACATCTTGCAGATAATAAATATCGCCGATCCACTTATTTCAACAAAGTCCAATTTTATTGGCTCTTAATACCCTTGCAGACCATTGTACACCTTCTGCACTGATCCTTGTTTAAGTAGTTGTTTGATACCTGAGGGAAGAACGGACAAATAAATAAACCTGCTAACAAAAACGTGCTAGCTTCCGTAGAGCTTAAAGAGCATTCGCATGTGGAAGTTCCCCAAAGCCTGCTGACAACCACAGGTCTGCATTAAACAAAGACCACCATGGAGCTACCAGCACAGGGGCATCCAGTAGAGCCCATCTGTTTTTTTCTGTCTCTCAGGCGCACACACACCACACTACCCACATCCCCTTGTGAAGAAATGAGAAAACGCAATAAAAAAAAAGAAAGAGACAATGTGCAACAGCTACCTTCCATCCCTTTGTGTGGTCTCTGTTTCAGTTTCCACCTCTTTAGGACGTTTTGCAGCAAGGATCTACTACTCAGGCCCCTCAACCAGGGATCCCAAAGCCCACCCAAAGCTCTACTCTGCCGGAGGTTGCCTTTTGCAATGCTGTCCAGCTGAGCTGTTTCACCAGCGTATGTCTCACACTCACACACCCCTGTGGTAGTCACCTAATCTGGTGTCAATGTAAGGATTAAGAGTGTAGAGGTGGAGTCGAGACTGTCAATCTGGAGATGGCCAATGAGGCTTCTGTGAGCACCGCCTTCTCCTGAGAATTCTGGGAAATCTGGTACTTCCTCCTTGGAGGCAAAAGACACCTATCTCTCTGCTCACACCCTGGGAGACAAGAGCAGCTGACGGGACCCACCCTGATGCAGCTGCCGAGACACACAGACCCAACCTGAGACCCCTGCCAGTGCTGAGATGTTTCCAATGACACTGGACCCAAAGACTTTCTACCCACTGGCCTGTGATCGTCTACATTTGGCGTCACTGCAGGTGTTTCGTGAGTCTGAAGAGCACTTTACAGATTGGTATCACACATATGGCTAATATTGGACTTAAGGACTTGATCTGGACTGGGTTGGGATGTTTTCTCCATGTTCAATTCCTCTTGCCTATAAACCTTTCTTATATACATATGTGTGTCCATGGATTTGTTTCTCTAGTCTACCCAGACTAACACATGCCCTCAGTCACCAGCTCCTAGACTTCAAACCTCAGCGCACACAGTTTTGTTGCAGCAGTGGAAAGAGTTTTAGTGCTGCCTTTACAAGAGAGTAGAATTCATTTCTATCTTTAGTTCACGCAAGTTAACAGTTAGTGCCCTCAGAGGGTTCTGTTGTCACGGTCTTCTCTCTCTAATCACTCGCTCTTCATACTGGCATTTCCCGGTTCCCACCCCCACCCCCGCCCCATACCTTCTCTTGCTTCCTCTGATAACTGTTCTTTTGGAAAATCCACATCAAAAGTGATTATTAAAGAGCCTTTGATGTTGTTGTTGTCAAAGTTGGGGAGCCCTTCCCCTTTCTTCCAAAGCTTGGCTCCTGGCCTGGTGATCTTATCCCGGGAAATATGTACCTGGAAGGCAAAAGGGATGGACTGTCATACAACTGGTCCTCCTGACCTGTGTCACACAGCTCCCAGGGAGCAGTGGGGCAAAAGCTAGTCTGGCAGGCTCACACATGAAGAAGGGGCCGAGGAAGCATCGCTAGGACAACACACGTCAAAGGAAGAAGTTTTCAGAAGAAAAAATCAACACAGGCAATTTTTAAAAGGCTTTTGGTTTCCTATGTATGTATATTTTCTTTTTCTCAATAGCACTATGAATGCTATACCAATGGCTAGCTTAATGATACTATTATTAGAATTACCAAATGTCTCACTGAGGTTACTTATTTCTCAACAAGCTGACAATGCTGTCTCTAAAGGGGACCAGGGAGATTTTTTAATTTATATATATATATACACACAAATGGATTTTGAGCTCGCAATCATAAACCCAAATCTATGAAAAATTAGTTCTTAGATTGTGGCCCTGCTCAGGACTTGCCCTCATAAAGTGATCACAGGTGTGATGAAGAGATAAGATAGTACCAAACTATCAAAAAAAGTAGTGCTTGGGGTCTTAAAGGCTTCCTTTAAAATAAGCAGCCATGTAAATGAGGTGTTCACAAAGAAGGAGCACACCAGCTTGTGTGATTCAAGGATTGTAAATAACATAATCCAAGAGCAGAGGAAGAACCTGTATTAGCCTATAAGTTCTGAGCACTCAGTTTACAGAAGGCTATGGATGACAGTGAAAGCCCAAAATCCACTTATAGAGTCCCCACAAAGATTAAGCCTCCACAGAATTTCCTCAGACTATTGACGTGAATAGTTTTGCCCTCAGACTGAGTGCACTAGAAAGTGTATTAGTGCACATGTAGGTAGGTTTAACACCTGTTAAGATTTAACACTTTATCCTTTTCTATTTGTCCACCCCCCCCATTTTTTATTCTAGTTTCTATTATCTTATTTTCTCTTGAAGTGAGGTTTCTGTGTGTTTTATTTTATTGTCATTGTTGGGGGGGGGCATACTTTTCTTTACAGGAAATCTAGGATAGGTGAATATATGGATACAGTAACTAGGTTAACAGTGTTATGGCAGGGAGGTTGGGGAGTATTGGGGTGCTAATAATGTGTACAAGAATGAAGGAACTGTTCTAAAATTGTGGTGATGATTGCACAACTCTTTTTAATATTTTTAAAAACTGAATTGTATGGTACATGAATTATATGTCAATAAAAATGTTCTTTTTAAAGTACAGTTTTTGCTGATGGAGCCAGATTCCCAATGCTGTGCTATCAACTCTGAGCAGTGGATGGGCCCGTAGCACTGTGATCACCAGACCTACTGCTGTGACCAAGGAGTGAAGGCAGGACAGAGACTGGCACAGGGGCCCCCATGGCTGAGTAATCTCAGGAACACCCCTGCCCACCCAAGTTAAGGCTGTACAGGGACAGGAAAATCAGTGTGCTTACCTTGTGACCATCTAAGTGAGTAATATCCATTTCAAAGCCAACCAGTGACTCAACTAGTGAGATGGTCACGTTTGTGTATAAATCATCTCCTCTCCTTTCAAATATTGGGTGCCTAAAAATGGGAAAAAGAGAAAAAAAACTTCCATCTTCCTTTGATAGCTCAACAAGTTTTTTAGAAAAATTTTAGACGAGGCTGATCCCCACTGTGTGAGGCAGTACAGTCAGCAGAAGCTTAAGCATGTAAGTGAAACAATACTGTGAGCACTTCGACTATATGGCGGGGGAGGGGGCATTGGGAATGGGTTTGTGGAGGTCTCCTGAGATGGGCTCACAAGGCCCTTAAATATGTAGGTAAGTGGGGCTTGGGGGCAGAGATAGGGCAAGAGTATATTCTGGCAAAGGCCAGGAGTCGAGAAGGGGACCGCGCATTCCCGTCTCTCTGGGGAGTGATGAGAAGGGCAGGCCGTTAAGGGAAGCTGGGAAAAGAACACTGAGATTTGAGTGCAGCGAGGGAAGTCCCAGGCAGTGCATAACAGGCAGAAAGCCCATTATAATGAACCCTTAGACACAAATGTAACTCTGGCTTTTCTGATGACAATGGGAGAAATAACAAACAAGAAGGCCTGCGTTCCTGGCAAAATTATCTATGCAGCACCTTACATTGAAGAGGAGTTGCATGTCAGGTAGTAGAGGTTCTTCTGTGAAAAATGCCCCAGTCTTATTCAGCACCCCATTTCCTGAGGTGAATGTTCTCTTTTTTGCCTCTCTTTAACAGAACCTCAATCCTAAACCCTAATCTACACTGTATGTATTAGATCTCAGAATTATTGTAGAGTCACAAATAACATTTCAGGGCACTGCGGGCAGGAAACAGAGGAAGAGTCTGGGATTGTTGACGTGGAGGCCCGGTACCCCTTTCCTCTGACTCACTTAAAAGCAGGAGCATCTAGCAGCAGAGTACTCACTTGACCACTCGGATTCGGAACCGCAAGTCTCCTGGTTCCCCATCCACGTGCGGCTCGCCTGGTCAGACAGATCATAGCACACTGTCAGGAACACAAATCCAGGTGGCAGTAGAGAGGGGCATGTTTCCTCTATTTTCTTAGGCCGGGTCTCTCCAGTGTCTGTGAGAAAGTGTCTCTCGTGGTTGTAATAGACGTCAGACTCTGGGTGATGAGCACCTGTGCCTCAGGTGAGGGCAGGCGGGGGTGGGGCAGAAATAAATTACCTGTATCCTTAACAAAGCATGACTTCGGAAGACTTAAAGTTAGCTTGTTTCTTTTAGTTTTCAATTTAACCCAAAAGACGAGGTCCGAGGGCATCTCAAGCGTGCCAACTAGAGCACCGGGTCTTCTTCAGTGCCAAGTGGTCGGAATCCCTGGGGCTACTGAATAGCACATTTTGGGCAGAGAGTTGAAGGATGAACAGTGATGCTATTGCTTAAGGTGGCCAATCATGAAAGCTATCAAAGTGTTTCTGCATTTCACAATGGGCTGAAAAGTACTGAACTTGAATGTGCATTTACTATGTGGCCACTAAGATATGGGGGAGGCAGGGGACAGAGATGTTCACAAGCTGAGAATAGCCAGTTATAATACAACAACAGGATCCTTTTCTGGTTCAGAAGCATGATGATTGGGTTTTCATGCATTTGTGTGACCTGAACCCTGTTACGACGTCGGCATATTACCGGTCTGACACAAAATAATAAAAATAAAGTATTATTGATATTTTACCTTCTCCAATAAAGGGGTACTCCATGCCATCTCTCACCCCAGGTTCTATTTCCACCTCCAGGGTCCGTTCTTCATTCACTAGTCTGAGACCATGAGAAAGAAAAATAAGAAGCAAGTCCCAGATAGATAATAAAAGTTTAATTTATTCTCCCAGTGCTTTCCCTTAAGACTAACTGTACCTCTAACTCAACAAAGCTAACGGGTATCTGTTTGCCTTTTCTACCTTCCAGCACTCAGGACCACGCTACTGTACATTACAGACAAACACAAGCACTAGCTCCAAAGAGCTTACAGCAGGCTGACGACTTTGAAAAGCATGATCAGTGGCAGACAGAACTACGCGTTCATATAAATCTATACTTGCAGGGAATCCAAACTAAAAGCTAAACCAACAGCCACTGAGGATTCTGACTCATCCCTACTTCTCGAGGGTTTACGAGGCTATAAATCTCTACAGGTGCAGATGGGCTCATCTTGTTCCCCAGCAGTGGTTAGTGGATTTGAACTACCAACCTTGAGATAACAGCCCAAAGTTTAAATCCGTAAGTAGCCCCAGGGCTAGGCTCACACTACTAGGATTCTATCAGAAGAGTTTATCTATCTCATCTGCTTTTCCCCCTTCATCTCATAGTAACTTACATACAAGGGGGCTTCAGAAAGTTCGTGTAAGAATGCCATTTTCCCACAAGCTTTTGGATACCCCCTTGCAGCAGTGAGATCCACATACGCACACGCCACTGGCAGGGATGCATGCTGAAGAAGTGGAATAAAGCAAAGGCAGGGCCTACATTGAGAGCACAATGTGTTGTGAGACGTCACAGCTGAGTGCCAAGGAATGTACTGAACAGCAATGTGGACAGCTACTCAATCAACATTATAGTTAAATTGCTCCCCAGTACTCAAGTTTAATTGAGTAGTTGTTTTTAGAGCATATTGACAAATATTACTTCTCTAATCTGAAATGCTGCCTGGGCATATAACATTGCTTTACTATTCTTAGTGGAAAGAAAATATAGTGTTAAGATATGTTAAGTATATTCAGAAACAAAGGGTACTGAATTAATTCAGAAATACCATATATACTTGAGTATAAGCCCACCTGAATATCAGCCGAGGCACCTCATTTTACCACAAAAAACAGCATTATAAATGTGCTGAAAAACTCGGCTTATACACGAGTATATATGGTAAGTAAGGAGAGCAAAAATACATACTTTGTGAGAAATAAAAATAAGTACATTTCTTTGTTCTATCCTCTGGGAGAACAGGAGAGAGAGGAGGGGAGGGGAGAAGAGGGGAGGGGAGAGAAAGGGAGGGGAGAGGGAAAAAAAATCTCAGTGTGGACCACCAGAGCAGTGGTTCTCAATCTTCGTAATTCCGCGACCCTTTAATATAGTTCATGTTGTGAGGACCCCGCCAACCACAAAATTATTTTCGTTGCCACTTCATCACTCTAATTTTGCTACTGCTATGAATCGAGCGACCCCTGTGAAAGGGTCGTTCGACCCTCCCAAAGGGGTCACAACCCACAGGTTGAGAACCGCTGCACTAGACAAACTGTATCATCGAAACGTCTCCTAGTTGATGCCTCGTACTTACTTGACGTTCGGGCACTCATCGCAGACCACTTCCTGGGTCATCTGGAAGCGCCCGGGGCCTAGCTGGGTGGTCCGCATCTCTTGGCGGCAGTTGCATTTCCGTTTGCCAGGCGCCTGTCTTGCCACGGGTTTGTTTCGAACTACCTACGAAACACACAAGCAGCATTAGCTGGGTCAGGCACCGCAGGACTCAACTTTGACTCAGGATCACCACGGCTGCCTTTTCGAGAAAAACAGACTTTAGTTCCCTCAGCCAATCAGTGCCGGAACTTCTTTTCTGCCAAGTTATCCCTCAAGGTGACCTCCGACTGGCAAAACTCTTGGAGGCATTACAAATGAGCCTCAAAACCAGAATGAAGCAAATACTTAAATGGCGCACATCCCAAAGTTGGAGGTGAGATGAAGTGGAGTAAGAAAGAACTGAAAAATACTGTTCATTTATATGTCACAACGAAATGCTACCAGCGTATATTTCAGAGTGACTTTCTTTAAAGAAATCTGAGCGAGTAAAGCAGGACCTCTGGAGAGCAACCCCCTAGTCATAAACTGGTATGGGACTGCAACCATATCCTGGGATTAAGCTCGTGAGATGCCTCCTGGTTTCAGGGAACTCCACTTAGAGCTGTTTCCAGTGCTGTCACAGTGCAGACAGGCATGGTTAGGGTTGACTTGCAATCAAATATTCTGATTTCTCCAAGTACGTGATTACTACTCTATACACACAAAAGAAGCCTGGAAAAATCACAATGCTTTTATTTCCATTTTCCCCACAAACGTTCTAAGTCCCTTTGTGTATATTCCTATGTGTGTTTGTGTGTGTGTGTGTGTATACATAAGCAGACATATAGAGAAAAGTATTCTTATTTTTGCTTGCTTCCTTTATTAGTCAAACACCTAATTGCAAGGCAAGTGTGCCTGCAACAGGTTGACTGACACCAATTCTTGGAGAAATCCCTCAGAGCCATCACCATATAAAAGCCCACGTCCTCGGAATAAAAGGCGCTGCTGTCAAGTAAGTGCTGGGCTGCTAACCCCAGGTCAGTGGATCAAAGCCCTCAGGAGAAAAGATAAAATTCTCTGCTCCCATCAAAATGTATAGCCTCAAGGTCGGAGGGAAAGGCGATTGGCTAGTATCTCCATTACTAGGAAACTGGGTTAGAGTAGAACCATAAGTGTATATGTGCATTTTTGATACCATACATGTGTTTACTCTGGACAATGTTTATTATTTTACAGCACCTAAGCTTTCTAGATGCCTTGAGGTGACAATGTGTGATAAGAAGCAGTACTGGCACTCAAGAAAAAGGACAAAGTTGGAGGACTTGCTTTACCTGACTTTCACACCTACTACACAGCTACAGTGGCATAAGGACAGATACACAGACCGATGGAAAAGAACAGAAAACCCAGAAATAAAACCATCAGCATATAGACAGCTGATCTTCGACAAAGGCCCCCAAAGCATCAAGTGGGAGGTGGTGCCCTATTTAACAAATGGTGCTGGAAACAATGGATATCCACATGTAGAAAAATGAAACAGGATGTCTACCTCACCCCAAGAACAAACTCAAGGTGGATCACAGACCTAGAAGTAAAACCCCAAATCACAGAGTCAGAAACAACCCAATTCCCATTGGTAGACCAGTGGATCAGTAAACTGGCACATACACAATGGAGTACATTGATGATCAGATGAAACACATCGTTTCATGGGAAGAGTTGGAGGAAATTATGCTGAGAGGTCAGTCAATCACAAAAGAAGAAGTGCAGCATGAGTCCCCTGAGGTCAGTGCAATCAGCACTGTATGTATAGAAGAGAAGCCACCTATTATCACAATATTCGGATAGTAGCACAGGGAGTTGGGAAGAGGTTAGACCAAACCCAAGGAGGTACATGTAGTTTCAACACAAAGAAATGGAATGGGGGGAGGGAGAAAAGGAGGAGGGCCAAAAGGGAGATTATGACAGGGGGGGAGCAGGGCACTAACCCACCCAGGGGGAGAGTATTGGCTTTGTGTCCACAGAATTGGGAGTGGGCATTCAGACCCTACCATGGTGCACCAAAACATGAGGGAAACATGGCCGCATGGAGGAAAGCATGAAAAGAGACGGCTATAGGGCTGGCCCCAAACAGAGCCAATCTGACCCCATCCCTAGAAATATGGGTGACAGAGAACAACACTAAACCTACAGGTTGGGGAGAGGGCCCAGCATGCCATGCCCACATGGAAGCAGACCAAGAAGGAAGAAGAGAAAGAGACTCCATGCTGGCACACTAGGCCCAGAGGACGACGTACCTGAATCCAGGAACAGGAGTGGGAATAGCAATACCAGAGGGTAGGGATAAGGTGGGGGGAGAGGAAGGGAAAATGGGGGAACCAATCCCAATGGTTGACACATAACCACACAGCCCTCTCCAGGGGGGAGAACAACAGAAAACACAGAAGAAGGGAGACGGGTCAGTGTGAGATATGCAACTAATAATAATTTATAATTTACCAAGGGGACATGGGGAGGGGGAATGAGGAACTGATACCAAGGGTTCAATTGAAAGTAAACATCTAGAAATGAATGAAGGCAACATACATACAAACATGCCTCCTGCAATCCATGCATGGATTGTAACAAGAGTGGTAAGAGTCCCCAATACAATGACCTTTTAATGAAAATAAAAGAAGTGGTACTGGTCTGTAGGTATCTTTTTGCTGGGAGGTAGAAAAGCTTCTGGACATGGAGCTACCTACCCACTCCTGGGCCGCATGCACCAGACAGGGTAGGCTGATGGCACAGGCTGGGCAAGGGGAGGGTGTGCAGGTGTACCTGTGCTTTGACCATAATGTGTGTGTATTTCTTGGCTGTCCTATACAAACACATTACATTCAGGAAACACCTTGGTAATATTTTCATAGCTTAAAATCCGGTCATTTTCTTAACAGCATTATACTTAGTGTCCTCTTGCTTTATGTTTCATTTTAAATTGAGCATTAAGGGAATGCAGTCTTTAAATTGCAACTCTGCCCATACCTGTATCTAGAGGCTTGTAACCATTTTTGTCTTTTATTAATTTTATTCCCTTCCCTGTAAGGGATTTTTTGTTTTCTTTTTCTGATTGAGTCTGCATAGTGTATTCTTGCTTGTCAAAATACACATGGCTTTGGGACTTTGAATTGGTAAATATTCATGATGTGTAAAAGCAAAACAAAATGCATGAATCTATACTGTGTGACCTCAATCACCTAAAATTATATGCGCAATCATTTACATACATCCATAGGCATGATAGAAAGACATGTCTATCTATCAAATCAACATGATTTTGGATGCCTTCATGTTCTTTGCTTTTTGCTCTTGCTTTTCAGTTTTCTATAATGCACAAAAATGCTTGAAGAGAAAAAAAATACTGACTTTAAAAACTTGCATGGAGTTCTCCCTTGCCTATAAAGTTAGCTTGCTGACCAAAAAAAAGAAAAATTACAGCCTCAGAAACCTTGAGTCAAGAAGGGACTCGATGGCGGTGGGTTTGGTTTGGGGGAAGAGCAAACACTTTGTAGCACCTACTGTGCCAAGCAGTACCCTGCATTCATTTACATATATTAAATCACATATTCCTCCTAATGGCAGTGGGAGCCGTTGCTGGTAGGGGCTATAAGTTGGTTCCAACTCGCAGTGATCTTACGCACAACAGAACAAAACACTGGCTCCCCCCCACCCCCCATCCTGTACCTGCCTCCCAATCATTGCTATAGTGGAGTCCATTGTTCCAGCCACTGTCACTTCATCTAGTCAAAAGTTTTCCTCTTCTTCACTGTCCTTCTATTTTACAACACATGATGTCCCTTTCAAGGGACTGGTCTCTCCTGATAACACGTCCAAAGTATGTGGGACACAGTCTCACCATCCTCACTGCTTTTTTTTCCCCCACCATCCTCACTTCTAAGGCATATTCTGGTTGAATTTCCTCCGAGACATAATTGTTTGCCCTTGTGTCAGCCCATGGTGCTGTCAACACTCTTCATCAATACCATAATTCAAATGCATCAATTCTTTGGTCTTTATTAGTCACTATCCAGCTTTCACATGCATAGAGGCCAATGAAAACACCCTGGCTTGGGTCAGGTGCACCTTAGTCCTCAAAGTGATACCCTAACTCTTCAACACTTTAAAGAGGACCCAAGCAAAATGAAATCTTTGATAACTGTAAGTTTCTGCATTTATCATGATGCTATCCATTGTTTCAGTTGTGGTTTTCTTTACACCGAGTTACAATTTACACTGAAGGCTGCGGCCTTGATCTTCGTCAGCAAGTACTTCGATTCCTCCTCACTCAGTGAGCAGCAGTATCACCAGCATATCACAGGTTGCTAATGTTTTTCTCTAATCCTGATGCCACGTTCATCTTCACACAGTCCAGCTTCTCCAGTTCCGTATTTGTGTAGCATATAGAGTGACTGACACATACCCTTCCCAACGCCAATGCCATGCCTGGTGTCCATTTACAGGTTTTTGTATGGCACAGGGAAGTGTTCTGGAACTTCCATTCTTGGTTTGTTATGATCTACACAGTTGCATGACTTTGCATAATCAAAAACACAAGTAAACATCTTTATGGTATTCTCTGCTTTGACATCAGCAATGATAACCCTCAGGCCATGTCCTCTTGGGAATCTGGCTTGAATTTCTGGCAGCTCCCTGTTGATGTACTGCTGCAACTGTTGTTGAATAATCTTCAGCAAAAATTTACTTGCACATGGTATTAAAAGTATCATTCAATCATTTCCACAGTACGGAGGTACTATTATTTTATCTATCTATCTATCTATCTATCTATCTATCTATCTATCTATCTATTTTTCAGTGTGGGATGGGGGCGCTGGAGCCTGCGAGGAGCAAGCTGGCCCCAAACTTCTCCAAATCCACATTTCTTTGCCTCTAATTCTTACGTGTCTAAGGACAGGGAACCACAGACACGCCTTTGTAGGAGGACGAGGTAGGTACTATTATTAACTTATTTTAAGGTAACAGAAGCAGCAGACAAAAGTTAAGTAACAGAACCAGGGTCACATAGCTAATAAACAGGAGTGCCAGATTCTAAACCAGGCACTCTGGCTCCAAAGGCCAAGCTTCCAAACAATGTACTATCCTACTTCAGGACATAATTTTTTCTTAAAAACGATGACAAGCGAATCACATCTTCTGTAGTTGTCTACTCCTCTCAACTATTCAGAGCAAACTCACATATAAAAAGAAAATGTTTACTTCTTATCAAGTCAGTAACTATATTGTCTCCTACAGAGTTAACCCTGGGAAATGAAGGAGGATATGGATTCCAGGAAACAACAAAAGGTTTACGGGAGAACCTCGGAAACGGAAGTCTGTTTTGAACGGGTACACTTGTAAGATGGGCTACAACCTGAGGCAACAGTAGTAGCTCATGGTGGCCACGAGAAGATACTAGGAAAAACCAGTGTAAGTTCTGCTTTTGCTTTTCCCCTTAACTACCTTGGGATAGTACTGCCTGCCCTTTCTCCACAGAATACAGAGCTCTAGACACGCACACGCACACACACACACACACACAACCCCAGCAAAAAGAAAATCAGATCACAAGCAACAAAATGTAGCTAAAACCACTGGCTCACCCCAGTTTGCTCTACCAGGGAAAGGGAGTTGCCAATACCCAAAGAGGAAGTTGGGCTCACAGACAACATAAATTGAATGCCCGAGGAATCCAACTACTTACCTTCCCAGCAAAAAACCCCCAACAAACTGGCTAAGAAATGTATTGTACGCAAATGTATTAGTGAAGGCAAACTAAGATTTTAAAATAATTATAGTATTTCACAATGGAGGATGCTAGCAAAATGAAATCGATATTGTAAAATTGTAACAGACTCAAAAGAGAAATACTGTGTCTAAGAATATGAGTTGAAATAAAAACACAGCTGATGAGATGACAGTAGAATGAAGATGGGTAAAGACTGAACCGGTGAGACGACCAGAAGGAGGCCCTCTCCCAGGAAGGCAGGCGGGAAGGACACAGAGAGAGACCGATGACCCTTGAACAAAGGGGTGACTCGAGCAGACTGCCATCAGTCAAAAGACTGCAGTTTATAGTTGACCCTTGAGCAACAGTGAGTTCAGACTATGCCAGCCCACCTATACGCAGATTCCACCCACTGGTTTGTGGCAAGCTCAATGTTGCCACCCGTGCATAAAATGTGGAGCGAACATACTAGTCATCCAGCAAGTTGCCCACATGGAGACGATAGATGCCACTGGGGGTTTTAAGCCAATACTCAATACTGAGTGCAACAAAATAGGGGGGAATCCATGTACAAGTGGGCCCATGCAGTTCAAACCCATGTTCAAGAGTGAACTGTAGTTTATGCACACAAGGATTCAGTATTTGAGAAAATAATAGAGATACAATTTCTAGAATTTAAAAAAGAGGTGGTTTTTTAAAAAAAGAATGAATTTAAAATAGACCATTAAAAGATAAAAAAAAATTAGTAGAAAATATAGATGAATAGTATTTTGACTTGGGAGCAGAGAAGAATTTTCTTAACAAGATACCACAATTAAAAGCAAAGATTAATAGTTTTGGTCATATTAAAATCAATTACTTCTGTTCATTTAAAGAAATCTTCAATACAATGAAAAGATTAAGTTACAAACTGGTAGGGTAGAAGAGAATAACTCAAAAGGTATTGCTGGAAAATTGATGAAACAAGATGTCAAACTGGGGAAGCTTTTGTTTCCTGACATGGCCTCCAAATAGGTCTCTAACGTCTTCTTTTTTTTTTTAGAACAGGTCTCTAACTTCTGACAGCAGTGTTTCCATCTCTCTGATCCTTCCAAGAGTTCTGCACGATGCATTAAAGCAGCAGTTTGGCATCTTCAGGGGATTCATTCTGTGCTCCTTACAAATTTTCTTTTGAGTTTGGGGAATAAAAACAAAACAAAACAAAACAAAACCCTGAAGAGGCAAGATCAAGGCCTACGGTGGATGGCACAGCCTTCCCAAAGAAATTCTCCTGGAACAGCCCTGGCTACCATTGAAGAATGAGCAGCTGCTCCGTCACGATGGGGAAAAATCCCTCAACACAACTTTCCTGGCCTTTTTCTCACCAATGCAGTTCTCTTAAAACCTGTTTATAATAAGATCTGTGATCAATCTGTTTCCTTTGGGAAAAAAATCTATCAAGATTATCCCTTTGGAAACACAAAACAGTCTTCAAAACACACTGAACGGACCTCTCTGCCTCGAATTTTAACACATCCCCTCGGAAGCTACTGCTTTGACCTTTTCCCAAGAGCCTTGGTGGTGCCATGGGTTAAGTGTTTGGGCTGCTACCCAAAGGTCTCTAGGTCAAACCCACTAGCTTCTCCAGGTGAGAAACATGAAATTGTCTGCCCCATAAAGATGTAGTCTCAGCGTCGGACAGTGTAAGATATGACAAAATAATAACTCATAAATTATCAAGGGTTCATGGGGGCGGGGAGCAGGAAGGAGGGGGAAAACTGAGGAGCTGATGCCAGGGGCTTAAGTGGAGAGCAAATGGTTTGAGAATGATGAGGGCAATGAATGTACAAATGTGCTTTACACAATTGATGTATGTATGGATTATTATAAGAGTTGTATGTGCCCCTAATAAAATGATTAAAAAAAATTTTTAAATAAAATAAAGCAAGCAAGCAAGGAAGAAAGATGTAGTCTCAGAAATCCTACAGCGTAATTCTACTTTTTCTTATAGGGTTGCTGTAAGTCAGATTCAGATCAATGGCAGTGGGTATTTTGGGTTTAATGAGACTAAGACAAGTGTATGACCGAAAAAAAACTTGTCTGCAGCCATTCACTGATTGCAGAGCCATGTAAATAAAATGCTCATTTGGAATACATGTGGACATGTATGAACTGGAATCTCAGGAGCAAAACTTTTAGGATTAACTTCATGTTTGTATTATATAAAACCCACAAGAGATTAGAAGACTATTACTTAAAATCACTATGAAAAAGATATAACAACCCAACAGCAAAATGGGAAAAAGACATGAATGTGCAGTTCACGCATGTCCAATACATAAATGAGGGAACACATATGTCCAATAAACATGGAGACACTTATCTTAACTCCCAATCAACAATGCCAGTCAAGACCATAGTGAGGTAATGCTTTATAGCTATTTTATGGGCAAAAATGAGTAAGTCTAATAATTCCGAGTTTTAGCGAGAAGGCAAATCTATGAGAGCCTTTCTAAATCGCCTTCAGAAGTGCTGGACCATCATCTGGCCAACAATACCGTTGTTGTTGGGCAACATGGAGTTGGTTCCGACTCAGAGCAACCCTGGGTACAGCGGAACGGACGCTCTAGTACCGAGGCAGGATTCCTGTATGGTGTCGCTTTTGAAATATATCGAAATGAAACAAGATATGAACAAAGGCCATCATGCTAAGTAAGGTAAAGGAACAGTGAAAAAGGCAGGCCCTCAGCAAGCTGGACTGACGGTGGCTGCAACACTGGGCTCAGGCACAGGCACAGGCACAGGGTCAGGGCCAGGCGTGTTTCTTTCTGCTGGGCAGAGGGCCGCTATGGGTCGGAGCCCGCTTGATGGCCCCTAACAACACCACCAGCAACACGGAGTGAAGGCAAACCCTGTGCAGACTGCCCACGAGCAGAAGCTCCAAGAGACAGGACCGCTCCTCGACGGCTGCCGGAGAAAGCCTTCCCCTAGAGCCAGCGCCCTGAGTCCAGCCTTCTGGCTTCCCGACTGTGAGAAATGAATCTGGGTGCTAAAAGCCATCCAACTGTAGTACTTGTGTTATAGCAGTACTAGATAGCTAAGTTAGCTAAGAACATAAAAAAGCCGGTTCACAAAGATAATGCGTCGGCGCCCTGGTGGGGCAGTGAGTTATGCACTGGGCTGCTGTCTGCCAGGTCCAGCAGCCCCAAACCCCCAGCAGCTCATCGGGAAAAAGGTGAGGTTTTCTATTCTCAGAAAGACGTACAGTCTTGGGAACGCACAGGGCAGTTCTGCCCTGTCCTATAGGAGTGCTTTCAGCCAAAATTCATTCAATGCAATGAGTTTATAAGATAGTATATAATGCCACTGTTACACAACATAATATACTACTCAGGTATTCGGGTACATGTAATAGAACAAACATACAAACAAGAATGATAAGGGATCCAGTACTATAAAACTCAAACTAGGAGTTCTTTCTGAAGAAAGGCAGAATGGAACGGGAAATAACATACAGGTAGAGCGGAATCACAGCATTGTTATATTAAGTTCTTGGGAAGGCATTGGTTTCATGAAATACACAGCAGTGTATCGTGAACCAGGATTAGTATTCAACTTCATACACCTGGTCACTCTTCTCTCTCTTACAAAGCAAAGGTACTTCTTAACTGTCGTTTCAGTCAAAGGAACCAGTTCTGGAATTCAATGTGAACAGCTGTTTCATTTAACTTACTTCCACAAAATTTCCTGCATACACTTCTTCCAAAGTGACTTCTAGTGCTACAATAATATCACTTCCTCTCGGAATATTCCTGTCTTGCTGGCGGGGGGTTCCTCCAAACATGAAGCCGAAATCGCCAAAGAAGCTGTAAGTGAGTGCACATCATCAAGGCGGGAACAGAAATGCAGGTTCACAGTGACGCGTTCTGAGGTATGCAATTGTGTTCTACAGCTTGCTATGCAAACCTACATTTGAATGCATTACAAGAATAGATGATATACAATCTTCAATTTATACATTATCAATTATACTGCCGTACCATCACAGACAATTTTCCTTTTAATACCCATATGGCCCGACCTGTATGCCAGTGAATCAAACATTGGATTCAAACAAACAGTGAAATAATGATCTGTCTCAATAGATTGAGAAAGAGCGTAGTATCTATAAGTCCATGCAAGGCTGAACTGTTGATTAATGTACACAATTTTAAAGGGTACTTCTTGAGAGTGGGTAGCATTTACTTTACATACTTTTTAAAAGCTAACCTCAGTGACAGCAACTACTGCTCTGTACAAAATACCTTAGGTACATAATTAAATAAGCTGAAAAAGAAATCGACCTTAGTGATGGGTATATGAGGCTGCATGTGGGTGGAGCCAACTGTTTGCACTTAGGTTCATACCCACTTAGCAGTGCCCTGGAATAAAGGTCTAGTGACCTGCATCTGTCAAGATTACAGCCAACCAAACCTATGGCTCTCAGGTGTACCCTGTATCACAGGGGCTGCCATGAGTTGAAATCCACTTAAAGCTCGTGTAGGTTTTTTATTGTTGTTGTTGGTGGTGGTATATGACATCATCAGGGCATGTGGAAATGCAAATGCTCAAAGGGAGTTCACAGAGTAGGATGAAAAAATGCTTATTAATCTAGCTACTTCACAGCCTCCCAGACAGCTGTGCACCACACATCGTAAAGAGCCCTTATCCCAGTCTCTTCCCCATTGCTGCTTGCCGTACTCATCCCTTTCTTGTTGAGAGGATGAAAAAGAGGTGGTTCCACGTGTGGAAGTAGAGTTCTTGTTCTGCTCCTCACAATGGCTGTGCTCACTAAAAGGTTTGGGGATGAATCGGCTGCCACATAATATTGGCAGGGCTGATTTGACTACCCTGGCTGGCCAGATGGACAGCCCCTTCCAGGCGGTTTCACTAGCAGCTGTGTGAAAATGGAGATGCTACCTTCCTACAGCAAGGCTATGGCTGATCTTAGGTCATGAAACAGAATGGTCAACCTCGTCATCAAAATATGCTGAACCAGGGAACACGGATCATTCTTTCATAATCCAAGTACCCATTCCTAGACACCAATACTTTGCACAGGGACAAGTTACTTACTGTGAAAAAATGTCTCCATGGGAGCTCTGATGTCCTTCTTTCAGCCCCTCCTCACCATACGCATCGTATTGTTTCCGTTTCTCACTATCTGATAGAACCTGGGGATAAAATCAGTGGAAGAGTCTAAGTCAATAATCCCCATTTAAGGTACACAGCACAAATACAAACACTTTTTTTCTTACTCTGATACGGTCTGAAATTTTAGTCAAATCAGTTTTCATTATTGATAGTATTAAGACATCTTATAAACAGTTATTTTTTTCTAATATAATGTTCCCCAAAGTGAGTGATACTGTCCCGGGTGGGTGGGGCTGCAAAAGCAGATATTTGTACTTTATCCTGGACTATGATAGACTAAAGTATAAAAGTTTCTAATTGCCAGGGGGCCACTGACTAATTTTTTTTTTCCTGAAAAGGATGCAGTAGGACAAAGAAGTTTAGAAACCTGTGCTAACAGATTAAATTTTTTTATGGCTTGTCCATTTCATAATTTTCACGTTGTTGATGTTTTTAATTTAGTTATTGGGACCAGTCACTTGAGAGTTGTCTCTGAGATTGGTGGTGTGTCTGGGAAGGTGCAGAGAAGGACATGGCATGGGCCCCTCAGGTTTACTTGCCGTAAGACCCCAGGGCTGCCGCTCCTAACCACCAGGCTACATTCCCTCTCAACCCAAACGAGGGCACACCCATGAGAGGTCATCGCTGGTGCCAGTAGTATGAACATCATCAGAAGGGATGTAAATACACAGGAAACTTCTACACTCCTCAAACCTTGCCCTCAACAAGCAAGACAAACAAAAGCTTCCAAAAGCTTTGCTTAAATCCAGAGCCATCTGCAGTATACGAACACAGACGAGGGTAAGTGGAAAAGTACTGCGACCCAAATCAGAAATCTTTATTACACAAAAATATCCCAAAGGAAAGCATAACTGTCCTTGACACCTCCTGCACCTGGGTCTGCACACGTCTGAAGGTGGTGTTTCCCTCTCTAACGCTTCCCCAAAAGAATTCTGTCCTCTTTGGTTTGTACCAGGTCAAAATGGCAGCTTTCGCATCTTTTAGGAACTCAAATTGTATTCCTTTAAAATATTACACTGAAGGGGCAAAATCAGGGCTCTAGGGGGCTGGGGCACCTTTCCCAACCCGAGTCTTGTAGAAGAGCCCTCGCTACCCAGGGAGAGGAAGCAGGCACAGCTTTCCTGGCCTTCTCTTCCCAAGCACTTCTCAATTTTCTTCAAACTTCCTCCGTGATGGTCTTAAGAAGATCAAGGTCACCTCTGTGGAACCCAAGACACAGTTGCCATCACCTTCTGAGATGCCCTCTGTCTCGGATCTAACTGGCCCACCCCAAGTCATTGTGTCGATTGGACCTTTTTGTTGAAGGCACCCTCCGAAGACTAAGACAAGTTAATACTGAGAAAGCTTGACGGCAGCCACTCATTGTTCAGAGAGACATGTTTAAACAGGTTTTGTTTGGAATAAACCAGCGCGTGTATGAACTGGAATCACAGTAGCAATATTTTAATCTTTGAAATAAAATCATTTTATAATCTTTGATAACCATAAACTCCTATACTTAGTCGACTTAAAATTATTTCAAGCCCAAACTGTGGCGATGCCAGACACAGAGGTTGGAAATAGTACTTACTGACTCAGCAAAATGAAAGGCATGTATGACATATTCAAACACAATATACTTTTGACTCGGGGCTTGACATATGTGTAAGACTTTCCTTCCACAAGCAAAACAAAAGCTTCCAACAACTTTGCTTCAAACCAGTGCAATCTGGTTTGACACGTCTTAACAACACATTTGAAGGTTCTGAAACTTGAGTCTACAAGAGAATGAGCATTCGTGAAATCAAAATTTCAATTTCTAGGTCAGTTCAGAACTTAGTTACCACAATGGGCTGAAAAGAGAAGGTAAAAGGAAGACTACTTCGACAACCATCTTTAGGAATGAAGTGCTTCGGCACAGTAGAACGGGTCCACCCCTCACAGTCATGGAGTCGACGGTGACTCATAGGGTGCCTATAGGACAGAGCGGAACTGCCTGTGTGGGTTTCCAAGGCTGTAACTCTTTATGGGAGCAGACAGTGCCATTTTCTCCTGAGGAGTGTCTGAGGTAGACTAGCAAAAGAAACTCCTTTTTTGTTGGCGGCTAAATGACTTCCTCCCTCCCATCTCGGGAGGCTGAGTGCTAAGTTGACCTGCCCACTCTCCCTCCCCTGACGGCAAAGTCTGCTGGTGATTAATTTTAGAATGTACCCCCATGTTCCCGGGTTCTGGACACTACAATCATTTGTTTTGAGTATTTTCAATATTGTTCTGTTTATGTTGTAATCTGAATGGTGTAGTTAATCTTGTCATGATAACCAAGATGTTATAATCAATTTTTGTATAGTTTCTTTTATGATGAGGAATGCACTTTGTAACGCATGCTCACTCTTCTTGAAGTTACAATTAATCTATTAATTTTGCTTTCTACATCTGTTCACACTTGCTTGAACCCTTGATAGGTGACAAATGAGTTTTTCAGCCTTAAAGATGGACTGAGAAATCCACTCAGGGCTGCTATGAAGGGAAACATCATAGTTTCTCGGTAGCCCAGCTGATTAAAGACTCTTCTAAATTTCAAGACATTATCGTGACTGTCATTTATTTGAACCTGCAGCATGACTGGTGGTTTTGAACTGCTGACCTTGTGGTTAGCAGCTCAAGATATAACCCATATTATGTTAACAGAGATATAGCTAACTTAAACAACCATTTTAGGATTAGACAAAGCTGCCCTGGTAGTGTATTGGGTTACTAACCACAAAGTTGGAGGTTCCAGCCTAGTAGAGGCTCCCGGGGAGAAAGCCGTCTATGTGTTCCTGTAAAGATGTACACTCTGACTCTAAAGCACAGTTCTACTCTGTCTTACAGAGCCCAATGAGCTGAATCTACTTGATGGTAATGAGTTTGGTTTAGAGTTACCAGGTAATCTGAATTTCTAGTATTTTCATTTTCATGTCTAATTCTCTGGTCTTTACTTGACAAAGAAATGAGCTTCACATTTATCTATTTAAAAACATTATCATTTACAAAGCCCCCCCAAAGGCCATTTTAAGACAGTTTAAGGATGCACGAAGCTTCTATAATTACCCCCAAACTACCCTTGAAGTCATCTGTTTTCAACCACTTCCAACTCACTTTTCTTTTAGCCAAGGAATGCAACTTTATTCCAGGGTCTTGGAAGGGATTTTATTTTCAAAAGCATTGACGGTGGTGGAGTGTTCTTAGTTGGTTGGCCAAACAACCCAGAGTCTCAATTTGAGAAAATGCCAGCAGTTACCTCAGGTCAGCAGAGAAGGCAAATTGTATTCATAAAAAAGAACTCTTCATACTGGGAGTCTGATTTGTGAGCACTACTTTATCTAAGGGCCAAAGACAATACAGCTTGAATGATACGAGGGAAGATAACTTGAATTTGTGACTAGAGAGTTTTTCAGTTCCACAACTTCAGTCTCAAGGATAATCTATGTACTTGTATCCCCTGCCCAGAGCAGATACTACTGGGTTCCTAGCAAGTGGGACCACTTATGGGAAAAACATGCAAAGCATGAAGTCTGGCATATTATCACCAAGAAATAAAATGTTATCCATAATTTTAGAGGGCCCACCAAACCCCTCAAGTTCATGGCTGTCCGAAAGGCTCCCTGAAAGTGTGAAGGAGAGAGAGCCGCAGGGCCTGAGGTTCACATATGTATTAGTCACCGTTTGAGTCTCGGCACTTCTTTAATATGGGGCACCTTGAGTTCCCTCCCTTTTAGGTTCTTTTTTCAAGTTTTCTTCTTTTTTCTTCTTCTTATTTATTCCCAGTCTCCTTATTATCCAGATACCCACTTTGAATTCAAGCATTATATCTCTATATTTTTGAAGTTAAAATTTCCTTTTTCTGTGCCCTTTGTAAAATGGGAATAAAAATATGTCTAGCTCTAACATATTTCAGTGTTCTAAACCAAACCTATGCCATGGGGTCGATTCTGACTCACAGCGAACCTATCTGTCGAAGGCTGCCGAGACTAACACTTTCACAAGAGCAGGCAGTCTCATCTTCCTCTGCAGAGGAGCTGATGGGTTGGAACCACCACTCTCACAACAACCCACAGTGCCCTCAGAGCCAATGAGACCGTGCACACAAAAGTGCTTGGGCTTCTGGATTACAAGTTAACAAATTCAACTTGTATTATTTTTTAAATGGTATTAACTAAACCAAAATCACTGCCATCAAATCGATTCCTACTTACAGCGACTCTATAGGACTGAGTAGAACTGCTACTTAGGGTTTGGGAAATGGTATGTTTTAATGGGGACTGATAGCCTCATCTTTTGTTCAAGGAGTGGTTAGTGGTTTTGAACCATCAACCATTTGGATAGCAGTCACAGTGCTACCCTCAGGGCCACTGGGACTCCTTAACTGAATTAATTACCAATTTTTTCCAATCTGGAGAATTTACATAAAAACCTGGGATTCTAGCCTTTCTCAAGAAAAATAAGATGGGAAAGAAGGGGGCAGAGAGGGGAAGTGGGGAGCCAGTAAAGTCAGAGATAAGGGAACAAGAGATCTAAAATTGATGGTGAGGAAGGCGTATAATGCCAGATGGGGTTCGATCAAGAGCAATGTATCCGAGAGGAAATACTGTACTGAGAGCCAAATGGAGGGTGAGCATGATAGTGGGATAGGAGGAAGGTGAAAGAAATAGGAGACAAAAGCTATTTATAGAGGTATAGCTATAGGCATGTATATATGTAAATATATTAAATTATAATGAAAGGGATAGAGGCCAATGTACATATATTTATATGGTAAGTATTAAGATAGCAGGCAGACTTTCCCCCCCCATCTTTTGGAGTGTTTGGTTGACATATTCAGAGGGTCTCTCATTCAAGGAATATGTTTAAAATGCTTAGTGGTTATTTGTCTACTGTTCCCTTGAGCATTATATAGTATCCCTCCTTATCTCTTCTTTTGGGTTGCACTCTGAGGTCACTTTTATCCAAGATTAGGATTGCAACCCCTGCTGTTTTTGAATTGCTGTTTGCTTGGTATGCCTTTCTCCAGCCTTTGATTCTCAGCCTATTTTTGTTTGTAGCTTTGAGATGTGTCTCCCGTAGGAAGCAGATTGATGGGTTGTATTTTCTAAGCCAGTCTGCTAGCTTCAGTCTTTCAATGCCTGAGTTCAGTCCACTGATATTCAGGGTTATTATCTCCATCTGTGGACTCCATCTGTCATCTTATACCTTTTGTGTTGGGTGTTTTCCTACCTTCCACTCATCAGTGTGTTGTACATGTGTGTGTGTGTATGGTTCATTCTTGACTTCTTTCCACCCTTAAGCCAATGCTATCTTGGGGGTTGTTTTCTCTTTGTTAGCAGGCAGGCTTCTACTCAAGGCTTCCCTTAATACAAGAACAGTTTGTTCTGATAACCTGGCACTCTTTGATGCTCACCTTCCTGACACGATCGCTGAAGACAAAATGGCACATAAGCAAATGTGGTGAAGAGAGCAGATGGTGCCATCTATCAAAAGATATAATGTCTGGGGTCTTAAAGTTTTAAAGTTAAGTAAGCAGCCATCTGGCAGGGAAGTAAATGAGCCCACATGGAAAAAGCACCCCAGCCTGTGTGATCATGAGGTGCTGATGGGATCAGGTATCTAAAGATCCAAAAAGTCTATCAATGTGAACGAGGGAGGTTAGTGTAGAGCCCAAGTCCATCTGTAGACAACTGGATATCCCCCCACAGAAGGGTTCAACCATGGTGTAGCATAGCACCCACAAATCACACATCATCCCTCTAGTACCTGAATGCTTTCTCTCCCCACTACCATGACCCAATCCAGCTAGACCGGAGAACACACATTGGGACAGGTAAGAGCTCTGGACACATGGAATTCAGGACAGATAAATCCCTCAGGAATAGTGGTGGGAGTAGTGATATGATGAGGGTAGAGGGGTGGTCTGGAAGGGCGAGAAAGGGGGAAACCCACCAAAAGGTTGTATATAGAGGTCCCCACCAAAGGGGATGAATAACAGAAAAATGTGTAGAGGGAGACAATGGACAGTGTAAATAATAATAACAATGATCAAGGATTCCTAAGGGTGGGAGAGTGGGTGGGGAGAGGGGGAAAAAGAGGAGCTTATACCAAGGGCTCAAGTAGAAAATGTTTTGGAAATGATGATGGCCACATATGTACAAATATGCTTGATAAAATTGATGTATGGAATGTTATAAGTTACAAGATGTGAGTGGTGAAACAGGGAGGGTAGAGGGAGAGTGGGTAGGAAAAAAGGAACCAATTACAAGGAACTATATGTGACCTCCTCCCTGGGGGACGGACAACAGAAAAGTGGGTGAAGGGAGACGTTGGACAGGGCAAGATATGACAAAATAACAAGTCATAAATTATCAAGGGCTCATGAGGGAGGAGGGAACGGGGAGGGAGGGGAAAAATGAGGACCTAATGCCAGGGTTTTAAGTGGAAGGGAAATGTTTTGAGAATGATGAGGGCAATGAATGTGCAAATGCGCTTTACACAATTGATGTGTGTATGGATTGTGATAAGAGTTGTATGAGCCCCTAATAAAATGATTTAAAAAAAAGTTACAAGAGCCCCCCAATAAAATGATATAATAAAAAAGATAAAAAAGATGGCCTGGCAAAACTGTGATGGTATTTCCATATGGCATCGAGTGACTAGGTATTTGTTTCTGGCTAAACGGGGCGAGGCTTTATTTTGTGATGGTCCCCATCATTCTGTGCTGCTCCCCACGATGGAGGCAGAAAGCCATTGCCATACTTGCTCATAAACCTGCCCTACTTGTTCTGGTCACTGTGGCCATGTGGGTTTGCAAGTCTCAGTTATAGTTCTACAATCTACTCCTGAATCTAATACTTTCTTTCACTCATTCCTTTTCACCTGATCCCTGAACAGGGACTTGAAAAACAAACTCACTGCCATCGAGTTGATTCCAATTCACAGCAACCCTATAGGGCAGGGTAGAATCGCCCCCGTGGGTTTCTGAGATTCTGTTTACAGAAGTAGAAAGCCACATCTTTTTCCTTGGAGCTGCTGGGGGATTCCAGGATCCAAACTGCTGACCTTGTGGTTAGCAGCCCAATGTGTAATCAACTACACCACAAGGGGTCCTGGGCCTTTAGTGTTATGGAAACGTCTCCTCACTTTAAAATGGTGACTCTGCTCAATCCCTCCTTGAGTCAGTTATCAGCTCAGTGTCTAGCCCACTAATCCATAAATAAATTCTTAATTACAATCACTTTCACTCGCTGCACTTGTAGGGGTTTTTTTGACTGAAAAGGCTTCTGGCACTACAGCACTGCTTCTCAAATGTATCTGGTTTACTGTCCCCTTTGCAGAAAGGAAAAAAAAGTACACACACACATGTATTTATTATTCAGCACCCCTCTGACAATGAAAACCTTTTGTACTTCAGCTCCATAGCCCAGGATGAAGTGTAGCTATTTGCTTTTGCATCCACCCCCAGGATCTTTCCAGTGCCCCACCAGAAGCAGTATCACCCACTTTGGGGAACACTGTACACACCTGTTCAACCCACTATGAATTCTTCTTTTTTTAAAAATTTTTATTGGGGGCTCGAACAATTCTTATCACAATCCATACATAAATCCATTGTGTCAAGCACATATGTACATTCGCTGCCCTCATCATTCTCAAAACATTTGCCTCCCACTCTAGCCCCTAATATCAGTTGCTCATTTTCCCCCCTCCCTCCCCACTCCCTCATGAACCCTTCATAGATTATAAATTATTATAGTTTTGTCATAAGTTACCCTGTCCGATGTTTCCCTCTGCCCTCTTCTCTGCTGTCCATCCCCCAGGGAGGAGGCAATACTTAGATTCTTGTCATTGGTTCCCCCTTTCTACCCCACATTCCCTTCACCCTCTAGGCATCGCCTCTCTCACCACTGGTCCTGAAGGAGCCATCTATACTGGATTCCCTGAGTTTCCAGTTGCTATCTGTACCAATGTACATCCTCCGGTCCAGCCAGATTTGTAAGGTAGAATTGGGATCATGATAGTGGGGAGGAGGAAGCATTAAAGAACTAAAGGAAAGTTATATGTTTCATCGTTGCTACCCTGCTCCCTGATTGGCTCATCTCCTCCCCACACCCACTATAAATTCTTACAAGCCCTTGGGAAGGGAATGAGTTTGTAACTCAGGACTGTCTGTACTCTCCGTAATAACATACTAATATGAAAACGGGAGGAAATGTCACCTATTTTTTATATAATCATTTTATTGGGTACTCATATAACTCTTATCACAATCCATACATACATCCATTGTATGTCAAGCACATTTGTACATTTGTTGCCCTCATCACTCTCAAAACATTTGCTCTCTACTTGAGCCCTTGGTATCAGTGCCTCATTTTTTCCCCTTCCTCCCTCCTCCCCTCTCCCTCATGTACCCTTGATAATTTATAAATTATTATTTTGTCATAACTTGCCCTGTCTTGACATGTCCCTTCACCCACTTTTCTGTTGTCCGTCCCCCCAGGAAGGGGGTTATGTGTAGATCCTTATAATTGACTTCTCCTTTCTACCCTACCTTTGCTCCACCCTCCCGGTATCACCACTTTCACCACTGGTCCTGAAGGGATTATCTGTCCTAGATTCCCTGTGTTTCCGGTCCCTATCTGTATCAGTGTACATCCTCTGGTCTAGCTGGCTTTGTAAGGTAGAATTGGGATTATGATGGGGGGGGGCAGGGTGTAGGGGGAAGGAAGCATTTAGGAACTAGAGGAAAGTTGTATGTTTCATTATTGCTACATTGCACCGACAACGGCTCATCTCTTCCCCACGACTCTTCTGTAAGGGGATGTCCAATTGCCTACAGATGTGCTTGGGGTCCCCAATCTGCACTCCCGCTCCTTCACAACGGTATGATTTTTTTTATTCTTTGATGCCTGATACCTGATTCCTTCGACACCTCGTGATCACACAGGCTGGTGTGCTTCTTTCATGTGGGTTTTGTTGCTTCTGAGCTAGATGGCCGCTTGTTTACCTTCAAGCCTTTAAGACCCCAGATGCTATATCTTTTGATAGCCGGACACCATCAGCTTTCTTCACCACATTTGCTTATGTACATCTTTGTCTTCAGCAATCGTGTGGGGAAGGTGAGCATTATGGAATGCCAATTTAACAGAACAAAGTGTTCTTACATTAAGAGAGTACTTGAGTGGAGGCCCAATGTCCATCTGCTACTTAATATACTATAAATATATGCAGGTAGATCTATATCCCCATTATCATATATAAATATATTTACATATGTACATGCCTGTATTTAGACCTCTATAAATGCCCTTAGCCTCCTAGTTCTGGAAATGTCACCTATTATCATGAATGTGCAATCTTGTGGAATATAGTCTCAAGTACCACAACCAAGCCATAAAATATATTGCACTGAGTTGACTCTGACTCCAGTGACCCTGTAGGACAAAGAAGAACATCCCTAATAGGGTTCCCACGGTTGTAAATGTGAGGGTAGCAGACTGCCTTTCTTTGACTTTTATCTATTATCTATTTTTAAATATAAGTAACCTGGAAAAAGGTAGCATTTCTCTAGGCTATTTTCTCTGTTCTGTACCTGTTGACCTTAGTCATACTTTAGCCTGTTCCCCAACTTACCTCATAAGCAGCACCCAGGTCCTGGAATTTCTCCTGAGCTCGTGGATCATCAGGGTTCCGATCCGGATGAAGCTGCAGGGCTAGTTTCCTATAGGCTTTCTTAATATCCTTTATAGAGGCACTTCGAGGCACCCCCAAGATCTTATAGAAATCTCGCCTGGTGGGGCCAAGGGAGAATAAGTTATTAAAGAGCTGTACATTATTACACTTTATAAAAGTGAGTTATATTTTTTCCTCTTTACATTTAGATCTGTGTTTCAGCAAAGGGTGAATAGGTATATGTGTGATGCTAAAAGAAAAAATATATATATAAGCATGTCTAGAAAGAGAACACACCTGTCCTGTATGTATGAAGGGGCTTCAAAAAGTTTTGTGGAAAAACTGAATTGAAAGAAATGAAATTTTTCCACAGGCTTTTTGAAGTCCCCTCTTATGAATATATCATATTCCCTGCTTGTTGAGCAAGCCTAGACTTTTTCAAAATATCAGTGGCACTTTCCTTTTGGAACTATTTTTGGCCCCCCAAAAATCTCCCTTATTATAGGGTCACAAATTCTTTTTAGTCAACAAATCAAATAAACTCCCCTATTTCCTTGTACAGAGTCCAAATAACTTTTTTCCTTTTATCTTTTCCAAATAACCTTTGACTGCTCCCCAAATCGTACAATAACCTTAAAGGATGCTTTTTTCTTATATTGATGTCCTGAACCACAGAACTGTTGGCAGGTTAATTAAGAATGAAGTGACCAAAGATAACTACAGAGGTTAATACAAAGAGTAAACCGAAGCCCAAATCACAACTCTGGAGGGAAAATAACATCCATTTGGAGGATTAAGTTGTGGTGTGTTTGCTGAAAATCTGTATATCAACTTTCTAGCTATCTTTAGTACCATACTAGTTGGTATAGGTCATGCCTTAATTCTATGTATTGAAGTTCATATGCAAGAGCATGTATGTTTCAGCAGACATGGATATGCACATGGCAGAAACTAGAACTGAGCTAGAAATTCACTGACTTCCTTGGCAGGGATTATTCTGGATCCAAGTTCATCTAACAGCATAGCCCACTGGGATAGTGGAATAGACCACAAAACTTTCAGGGAAGGGATGGTATGAAGAACTGAACAAATAAGAATGTTCATCCAAAAACCTATTCTTTTTGGCACCATAAATTATTCTGAACATGCTTTCTCTCAACAACAGGGGTAGGAGAGTTGTTTGCAATAGTGACACTGTACATTGGGGTACCAAGATCCAGGTCATATAGGGCATTCTATATGTTGCTGTTGGGTGCCCTCATGTTGGTTCCAGTGCATACAACCGAATGAAACACTGCCCAGTCCTTGTGCCCTTCTCGCAGTTGTTATGTTTGAGCCCAATGTTGCTGCCACTATGTCAATATACAGACATATTTTAAAACCCGGCTAAATACTATGGTCTCTACTTGAAATAATGTTTTGTTTTCATTACCATCCACAAAGAGTGCCATGAGGATTATTCAGGTGTTTCCCCCAAATGTGTAAAACCTTGGCATCTCTTGTGATAAGAACTAAATAAAAGAATTTCTATAACTAACAACAAAAGGGCAAACCACATGAGGTTGGCTCGGTATAAACAACACTAAAGTTCTTAAGCAACAGCGCAGAAAAATTAAGAGAAACAGCTTGTATAGCTCAGCATTAACATTACTGTTCCCAAGATCTTATTTTATAAACAATTGAAGTTTACAGTTACCACATTAATATTTATATTAACATTTTATTTCAAAAACCTTACAATACTTGTCACTTTAAGTGTAAAAATAAATGCCAAAAGCATCCTGAGAAGAGGTAATAAAATATTACCTAGGAAAAGTATGTTATACAGTTCCCCCTTGGGAAAAATGATAACAAAAAATTTAGGAATAATGCACGTTAAAAATCTCTCTAAAATGAACAAGAACATACATTTTAAAGCCCTAATAATAGCACGGCCCCTACTTAAAACAATGTATGAATTATCAGAAGTCAAGACCCTACTTTTCCCCACAGTCTACAACATGAGCCTGCCATATCTTATCCTGCGGTCACCAGGCTTACAGAAACTCTTGGGACTTAAAGGCAGGATGGAGCCTCAAGAGTTCCTCTAGTCCTATCCCATTCACACAGCCCCTTCATCCTCACTTAACTAATGAGAATGTATACGGTTCCTTCAAGGCTACATAGCTCAAGAGGGGTGTAGGCTACAGTCCCAGGCAGCTAGTTACTTAGTGGTGCTCAAACGTCATTCAACTTCTCAAGCAGGTGCCACTGATAGAGTCAGGGACACTCAATGACAGCGGAGGCTCCACACTGCACGAAGGTGGGAAAAACAGAGGCGTGCCAAAGGGTCTGCCTCGCTTGTCAATTCGTTTTCCTCGGCCCCACGCGTGCCCTCGCTAGCTGCTCCGCTCATTGCTTCACTTGGCCTGGCATAAGCCGCACATTTGGATACCCGCGCTCCACCGGCTCTTCGCAGGCTCAGCACCGACTGGTCCTCTTCTCCAACCCAGCAGGACACAACAAGCCCACCTCTCTGACCAAAGACCTGCCATCCTCTCCCCTCGGGGCACTGTCACTCCCGCCTTACAGTCAGGCGCCCCTTCTCGCTCCCAACTCGGGGCTCACAATCACCGCCGTCTACCCCTCAAATGCGTCCTTCCTCTCCGCACCAATGGGGTTTGGCGCGGCATCCAACTCCCACTCTGCCGGACAATTTTAGGTCCTTAGGGGCTCCGGATGTAAGCCCCTCCGACTCGTGTCACCCGCAGCTCTCCTTTCCACCCTCCTAGCCTGGCCTGCACTCTCCGGTCCTTATGCCGGAGCCCCACCGCGGCTCTGCCCCTCCACTCCTTCCGCCTCGCACCGCTACACCCCCACCCGCCTCCTCCCCAGCAAAGGCGGACTCGGGTCCCGCGCCCCCCGTGGGTGCCCGTCCCTCACCCGGCGATCACGGCCCCGATGAGGTACAGCAGCAACAGGCAGAAGGTGCCCAGGTTCTGCGGGGCCATGGTGACTGTCCCGGACGCTATGCCAAACACTGCTCACAGTCGCCTCCGCCGCCGCGCTGGCTGGCCGGCACACGCGACCCCGTGAAGCCGCTACGCGCTCGGTCCGCAGCGACAGCCACTAGCCCCTTCCTCAGCCAGTCCACTTCCCGGGAGTCTCGTCCCGGTGAGAGGAGCCTCCAGCCGGCGAAGACCAATGGCTGCCCCAGACGTCACACGCGGCCGGCGGCCGGCAGCCAATCAGCGTGGTACACTTCACCTCCGAGGCGGCGCGGGCGGCCAATCAGGTCTCAGAACGGAAGCCGCAGCTCGCGGCCAATCAGAAGCGGAGTCGTCAGAGGGAGCGCCGCCGCAGGGACCCGCTGGGCCAATTCCCGCTAGCCGTGGAGAATTACGTCAGGCGGTGGTGGGGCTCACGGTAAGCACCCTGCGTACGGGGCTGCTCCTCGCCCACCTCCTCCGACTCTTCACCAATCGGGAGGCGCTGCCTCCTGCGCCATCCAGTTGCTGGAAGGAAGCTTTATGTTGTTTAACTGTCTTGGAAATTCATTCATTTTTGAGCTGCTTGTTGTATGTTGGGCCCCAAGGGTTGCTGCGGGGAAATTTAAGCGAAATGGGTGGAGATGATGACCCCCCACCCCTACGGCAACGGTTCAACGGACGAAAAGCTTAGATCTTATTTAAGATTCTCCCAACAACAGCATTTAGGAATTGTCCGCATTTCACAAAGAAGTCGTGGTACCTAAGGGGAGCATCTTTGTTAGATGAAGACTGCGGCTTTCACTACACCTAAGCAGGTCTGAGCTGCTCTATTAACAAACTTGGGGCAAAGCCCTTGCCGAAAAAACCCCAAAAGCACTGCCATCAAGTTTAGGCCGATTCATAGCGACCCGATAGGACAGGGTAGAACAAACTGCTACTGTGATACTGCAGCTGTTGACAGAGTAGAAAGCTGGTGGTTTTGAACTGCGGACCTTGCAGATCGCAGCCCAGTGCGTAAACCATTACGTCACCAGGGATCCTTAAGCACTTTCAGTGTTGCCAATTTTTTTAATTAATGATTTTATTGGGGGGCGCTTGCAAATCTTATAACAATCTGTCACTCAGTTGTATTAAGCACACGTGTAAATATGTTGGCATCAACATTTCCAAAACATTTTCTTCCTACTTCAGCCCTTGGTGTCGTGTTCTCTTTTTTCCCTTCCCTCCCCCACCTCCCACCAGCGTGAATCCTTGATCAATTATAATTATTTCTTGTCTTACACTGTCTGTTGTCTCCCTTCACCCATCTTTCTGTTATCCATATCCCTTG